TGCATCTACGTGGTAGAGTAGTTTGCACACATTATTGTGTTGGGAGAGGGGAAATAATAGATAATATGATATAAACTAATAAGCTCATGATATTAAATAAATAAAGTAGAATACAAAATTGCATGTATATAATAGTATGATCCTAATGGAAAAAGAATCTGTATACAAACAGAAACACTGAAAGTAAATGCACAAAACGGAGAGAGCAGCTCTCTCTAGATAGTTGAATAATAAGTAATGCTTTACATTTTCTTCTTTACTTTATATTTTTCTGTCTTTTACAAATTTTCTATTAAAAATATGCACAATGTTTGTAATTAAAAAGGAAATGATGTAACTCTGAATATCAACTGGTATAAGTGGTGAAACTTCGTGTCAAAACCATATCTCTAAACTTAAAAAGTCTGTGCTTTATTTTATTTCACCATGTTTTCATTCTGTAACATTTATCTGTATATGCCTTTGAATAGCATATTGTTTTGACAAAATATCATGTAGAACTTTAAGTGTCACAATACAGTGATGAGTTTGTGTTTTGTTCTTCACTATCACCATTATTTGGTGAGTACCTGTCTGCCGATAGGCAATAACTGTTGAATATTGAAAGGGGACATTTATTATGGAATTTAGAGACCACAGTGACAATTTTGAATCTATTAGAAGTTACTTAGTATTAGAAAACAAATATGTACATTTCCTCCCTATTTTAGGAGTAACTGTGTAAATGTCTTGGTAACGACAACCCAACTGATCCCAGCACTCGCGAAGGTTCTGCTCTATAGTTTAGGAGGTGCTTTCCCCATTGAGAATATTTACAGTGCAACCAAAATAGGTAAGGAAATTATTTTAAACTCTGTATGGAATGTGTTCACATCTGTGTGACTCTGCATGGTTCCCCTTTTCATCAATTTCACTATTAGTACATGAAGCAAATTTGGATAAAGTTGCAGAGTCTCTTGCAACTCATTGTATGTATATGAATTTTATGAGAACTGTTAGCTAGTGAAATTCTGAACTCAGTATCTGGGTAGTTCTGACTCATTCTGTATATTTCACGGAATATTACAGCACATGTTATCTAAATAATATGGAATATCTCTTAGCCATGGTATTTAATAGTTTAATTAGTATGGGGTATAGTATTACATCCTTGCATATGCAGTAATCTAGATCCAAGATAAAAATACTGTTTTGGCATTACAGGGAAGTCTCAGATGGATTGAACTAGTGCCCTTAATTACAGAAAACAAAGAATTTCATGAATCAGAAAGCATAATTGGAATATTCATAGCACATGATGAGTAGCTGGAAATGTATATTTCCAAAAATGTGCAGTAGCAATCAAAGAACTACAACCTTGTTTATTTAGACATTATCTATCTATGGAGTCATCTTTGACTCTAAGTGGATTTCGCAGACTCAAACTTCTAATAAACACTTAAAAACACAACTTCATCAACTTCTGCCATCTTGAAAGAGTTAAAAGAAAACTACTCATGTCTTCCACTGTCTGTTAAGGAAATGCCAGAGAAAATAAATGGGTTGTGTAGTGTGCCCTGAAGGTCAACAAACTTAGGCCCTGGCACATTGACAAGAGAGGTTCAAAATCCTAAAATCCCCCACCAAAAATAACTTGCCCTGGCCCTTGAGGAGGTCTGATATTGGCTCTGGCAAAAGGAGCCTCCAGTTGCAGCTGTTTCAGTACAGTTTAAGAGAGCCGTTCCATGAAGTAAATTCCACATTGTCGTGAGCATTGTAATTCAGAGCTTGGGTAGCAATACCATATATTCTTTATATAAATGTATGTATTGATGTTAGCAGAGTTACTATATAGAAGATAATTTTGCTATTTGACAAATCAAATAACTTTATGCCAGGATAAACATTTATTTTAGTAGGGACAATATTCTTTTTTATTGGCCAAATTATACCTTAGATTTAATCTGAAAAAAATCATTTTTATTTTTCCCTTTAAGCTAGTATTTTTTTTTTTTTTTTGGAGTTCTGAACTATCAGATTAAGAAAAAAGGCAAAAGTAGCCATGGATATATGAACATTCTGAAAATGAAATTTAGAGAAAAATACCAATGTTGGAAAACAAAGAACATGTAGAAATTGCACAGGGCTGTTCCCATAGTGCAGTCAGAGGATACCAGTGTTATCCATGCTGCAGCCTAGTCTGACAGCGTCCTTAGTCAAGTAATCTGAGCAGACTAGTTTTTACCCACTTGAAGAAAGGAAGTTGCTTATCAAGGTAAATCCACATCTTAGTATTTCCTCTTTCTTCAGAGGTGAACCTTCAATTTTCCACAATAACATGTTCAACTTACTTGTCTATGCTACTTAAAATAAATTAGATAAAAATTGATTTATAGAATTAAAAGACAAAGGTTATTAAAACTTATAGTTGCCTGTAAAGTTGTTCCAGTACTCTTGGTGGAGTAAAACGTACTAACATTTTCTATAGGTCAAATGCTTAACCCTAGTGACATTTTTGCAGCATGAAACACATTTGTTTAATAACCTGTCCTAAGTAAAGATTTATGTTATTCAAACGTGTGTTGATTTCATAAACCCAGAGGCTGTAAGCTAGTTCAAGTGATGTTCAAGAGAAATTAACTTAACACTTTATGAATCTTTAGGTTAATGAATGCAATGGCTGGAAGAATAAGCAGTGCATTGTTTTTCAGGCAAGGAAAGCTGTTTTGAGCGTATAGTGTCCAGATTTGGCACTAACATAACTTATGTTGTGATTGGAGATGGCCGAGATGAGGAGCATGCCGCTAACCAGGTAACTTCACTCTGAACTTTATCTCATTTATCTTCCAGGAAAAGAAAGTTGCTTTGAACGAATAATGCAAAGGTTTGGCAGAAAAGTAGTGTATGTTGTAATTGGGGATGGTGTAGAAGAAGAACAGGCAGCAAAAAAGGTAACCTGTCTCCAACAATGTCGGTGTGATACTTCTAATGCAAGCCTTTTTGTTTGCATTCCTGTAGTTTGGCCCAATGGCAGCTTGACAAATGATTTAAATCTATAGATGCAAAGCAATAAAAGCATGAGAGGGTCAATACTTACATTCAAATAAACCATTTGGAGTCTAGCATTTTTTGCCTGAAATTTGATAGGAAATGCAGGAAAATTTAGTTATATTTATTTGTTTGTGTGTGTGTATAAATTTGATAAATATATATATTTGTGTGTATATATAAATACCCATATGCATATGTATGCACATAATGCGTACAGATATAGATGACCCAGTGTCTGTAAGAAAGAGGAGGGGAGATAACCACTGTTAAGCCCATGAAATTTAACAAGATAAAGAAGTTTAATGAGCCCCATAGAAAAATCGCGTGAGTGGCTCATGAATCTCCTGTGCCATATGATCCCTGTGAGCACCTAGAAGCAGGTATACTCCATGATGGTAAATGCCAAGGGTGGATTTAATAGCCAAAGAAAAGCCTCTGTAAGTGATTTTAATAAGCACTATTGGAATGAGTTGCATTATTCAGATCCTTTTGTGCCAACTTGTGTTAAAGGCAGTGGGCCTCACATGTTCTAGAAGAGTTTCATCTGTTCTGGTGAGCCCCTGGTACTTGCTTGAAGCCAAGCATCTGGCTTTGAACGTATTCAGAAGACCTCATAGGCTTATCTAAGTGTTTAAGTAAGGCTTTTCATCTGGCCCATATTTCTGAAGAAGAAACCAAGGCAATTAAAAACCATTAAATGGATGGTTCAACATCAAAAGAAGAATGATATCAGGATTGGCCCCCGACACCAGACTGCCAGTCAACACAACACTGAGGTCTGCTTCCTTCACTGAGTGATAGCAAAATATCATCTAGCCATGATAAAAATGATAGAATTTATAAAACAAAGCAAAACGATGAATTAGTATTTTTAAACAGTAACGTATCAGCTTATATTGTTTTACATAGAAAGAATGTTATCCTTAGTATCGTGAAGAAATTTTAAATCGTCATCTAATAAAGCCTTCACTAAATGCTTGTGCTGGAGTGCTTACCTGATTTCTGTTTTCCAGAAAAAAAACAAACAAACACTTTTCTAGAAAAGTTTATGGCAATAATAGACAGAGAAAGGAAATATAATTTATGTTTCTAGTCCATTTAAATCAGGCAAAATGGAGAAAAAGAAAGCATATCCATTTTAGTAGGGTTGGTGGCAGTGTTGGCAGCCATACTTGAAATTCTCCATGCTTTTCCATCCCATTAAGAGAGCCGGTGTGGACTCTGCCTCCCACAGAGCACCCAGTCTTCATTAGCAGTGTCAGTGACCCAAGACAGCAAGCACACTGGCCCCAAAGACGTTCTGTGTGAGGTCAGGACTGCAGCCTCAAGAAATACAACTTTCATTGCCGACTACTGCTTGAAATGTTTCCAGTCACACGCAATTGTAATATCTTCTGGTGTTTGTCAATGTCCTGAGTCTATGTTGTTTTGATTTTTCATATTGGCACCATAATTACACACAACAAATAGCAGTCAATGATGTGGCCACTCCAGAACATTTACACGTCTTTTAGCCTGGGTGAAATTCACGTGTATCTAGGTAAGGAGTGATATAATTCACTTTTCCAAACCAATAACAATATATGCCATTGACAATTAAAACTTACCAAGTCTATCCCCAGTTATCCATGGTGTGAAAGCTAGACTTGGTATACCAGTTGTCATACCTTCTGCTTTACACCCAAAACTTCAAGAGAAAAAAGTGTGACTCCAAATGGATAAGAATCTCAGATAGAATGCTATTTCCAAATGGTTGTTTATGTAGGTACAGTTTTGGTGATGGTAAAGGCTTATAATTCTATTTTGAAACACAGGTGGTTGGTTTCTCTAGTACCAGAATGCATGCTTTTCTTTGGATGTAGCAGTAATCGCATGTGCAGAAATATTAAGTACTGTTTTGTTATTACAAATAGATCTGAGCTGAATAAAAAAAAAATGTTACTTCTAGGTGAATTTCTGTTCTTTAATTTGCCCTAAACATATTTTGTTTGAGAAATTTAAGAAGAAATCTCAAAGTTTAAGAATAGGTATAACTGTACTCTCCTGTAGAAATACATAACATGAGCTACATATGTAATTTAAAATTTTCTAGAAGCCACATTTTTAAAAAGTAAAAAGAAACAGGTAGAACTGTTTAATGTTAATAATACATTTTAATTAACCCAATATATCTAAAACATTGTGTCAACACCTAATCAATATAAAAATTATTGATATGATGTTTACTTTTTTTTTGTTCTAAGTCTTTGAAATTCAGTCTGTATTTTAAACTGAACTAACCACATTTCAAGTGCTAAATAGCCACATATGGCTAGTGGCTACCATATTAGGCAGCAAAGAATTATGTAGCAATCATGATTATTATTATGATGCTTAATTTTTTAAATAAAATTTTTCCATGTTTTGTATGTATGTATTTCCATTACATACATGAATATATATTTCATACATATATATATTCTAAAAGATGTCATCAGCTCAAACCTAAAAATAATGCTTTTGCTTTGTCAGTTGCTATATTACGGTGCTTTCTTTTTCTCATTGTCATCTCCATTGGGATCTTTTAGACAGTTTTTTCCTAATCACCCCCTTTCATGCAATTTTAATGCCACAGATATACTGTATACTGGTATATCTTTGGAGGGCCACAAACCATTGTAATGGCTAAGATTTTCTGCTCTACAAGAACCTACTTTTGTCCCCTTAGGAATAATGTCTTCCCCATTGAAAATGTATGCTAGAGTACTTTCTCTCAACCCCATGCCAGTGAAATAAATCATGTCAACTCTACTGGCTTTATCCTAAACAAGTAAGAAAGCTATCATTCCCACATTTTTTTCTACTTTATATAGTCCAACTTCAAATTAGTTTTCACATAGAAAACCCTCTTTTCCCCTTAAATAAAAAGCCTTGAGCTTAAGAAGTTTATTATTTTATTTTAATTTATTTTATTTTATTTTTAACTAAGAGATGGACATTTGAGAGTGAGGCATTGATTAAAACTTGTTTTTGACTGGCCGCAGTGGCTCGCACCTGTAATCCTAGCACTCTGGGAGGCTGAGGCAGAAGGATCGCTTCAGATCAGGAGTTCGAGACCAGCCTGAGCAAGAGAAAGACCCTGTCTCTACAGAAAAATAGAAAACTTAGCTTGGTGTGGTGGTGCAGCCCTGTAGTCCCAGCTACGTGGGAGGCCGAGGCAGGGGGATCACTTAGCCCAGGAGTTTGAGGTGAGCTATGATGACACCACTGCACTCTAGCCAGGACAACAGAGCAAGACTCTGTCTAAGAACAAACAAACAATTTGCTTTCCATCAGCCAGGGAGGATTCGATGCCCACTTGCTTTGCCAGATGTTGATGTTGATAATGATACTTTCCAGAATAAATAGTAAACTACCTGAGAAATTTCAATATTTGCTTTAATTATCATTCACATCCAGTTCAGATCTATTTATTATTTTGACAATGCCATATTGGTGCTGCCAAGCCCTCAGATATGATCATCCTTCCTTTAAATTCCCTCCCTTGAACTTGGGTGGACTGAACATCCTTGTGTGCACTGCTGCTTTGCTGAGACGATGTTTGTGATCTCTCTCCCTTCCTCATTCCTCCCCTTCTCTCTCCCATCCCTCCTCTTAACCACACAGCACAACATGCCCTTTTGGAGGATATCAAGTCACTCAGACCTCTTGGCTCTACATCAAGCACTGGAATTAGAGTATTTGTAACTGTGTTCTCTAGCTGGAGATCCATTTTTTATATTTCAAGTACACTGAATTTTTATGTGTGATTCAATGCCTCTGGCTCTACACATATAAATTGTCTTAAAGGATGAAATCATATTTGGAATGAAAATTCCAGAATGAAGAATTCAGATTGCTGAATGGAATTAAACTTTAGTGCTACAGAAAGGAAACTCTATGGTCTTATATTTACAACACTTTAATGGTTTCTAAAAAAAAAAAAAATCTGTGGAGGTTGCTGGTACTCACCGAATGAGTCCTAACTGGAATTAACAGCTTTAGCAAAGAACTCTTACCCTGGCAAAGCAGCAACACACATGCTCCGTCTGACAAGGTCAACAACATTCCTCACAATGGGAGATCTTCTCAGCCCTGAGGTTTGAATCTGACTTTAGCCTACCTAGCCCAGAAAATCTGAATTGGAATGCACTCAGACTGTATAAGGACAGTCCTATCTAGACCTGTAATTTGTGTAAATTATTCATGAAAATAATTTACTGTGACTTTATTAGCAGCTGACTTTGAAAGTGGATGCAATTTTTCTTTCATTTGTCGGGGAGGGGAGAGGGAGGGGAAATGGGAATATAATATTGTCTCTTTTTTAAGTTTGGCAAACAGAATGTTCATACTGATGTGTTGTGCCTTAAAGACAAGACAGCGTTTGTGTGTTACAATGTAACTTTGGTTAAAATCTCTGTAGATAATGAAAAGCAAAAACCTTTGTGATAATTCTTAACATGACCAAATTTCAAATTCAAGCTATCAAAGCTTAATACTGCATCAGCAAGAAACTGAGTATTTGTTGCAATAAGAAAACAACAATGATAATAAAGGAAAGCTTGTATTTTATTTGGGTTCTTAATAATTCCAATAATTGTATGAGGCAACTATTTGTGCATCCAACGATAAGCAGAAGGTTTGGGAAAGACTGTGGGACCTTTACTTAGAAAGCAAAATGTATGTAGAAGTCTCAAGTACTCCTTCTACAGTTTTACTGGAGAAAGCTAAGAGCCATATTCATGATGACTTGCCCGGTTTTGATTTTGAGACTTTTTGATATGCGTAAGTTGCATAGAGGAAGATACCGTCATGCAAATCATAAGCAATTATCACCCAAACTTTTTGAGAATATGCCATGGACGTGGCTTAAAATTCACATTGCGTAAACATGGCTTAAAATAAAGTTAGGTGTATTTTATTCCCAATGCCACTGTGAAATGATATGTCATCAATAATGGAAGGTGGATGTCCCAGATGGCTTCTAAAGAAAAAAGCGAGTCTATGAAAATTTTACCTAAAATATCATCATAAAGTAAATTAGCAAGTGAGCTGGATCTTGGCAACGTCACTGAAATCACAGCAGTAAAAATAATACCTGGTTCTCTGTCTTCACACATCAATGCAGGTTCTCTTCGTCACAGACTTGCAAACGTTAGTTTCTGCCTGTACCGTTAGTGCACAAGGGACAGCATTCATTGCAAGGAGAACCTGTCATCATTGTGTTTACAGGGCTTTTTCCTTCGTGTGTAGCCCATGCTGGGAACACTGTACAGGTTCTCCCGTCATTTCCTACTACAAGATTTCCCTTGTGGAAATTTAAGACTTCAAGATCTAGAGTATTTTAATGGTGTCTGCACCTGCAGTTCTGTGTTTGAAATGTCGTAATGTGGATGCTGCAATCCCGCTACTCATCAGCGCCCCTAACCAGAGGCTGGTTCATGACAGTTCATCAACTGAGGCTTCTGTGGCTTCAACAAGTTGCACTTTGCTCATGGATCATAACATTCACTATGGAAATATGATTTTATTTCTTCAGGCTATGAATCGAATCTGTATTTCTTTACTGAATGCTAAGGCCATATTTATGTTGGGCAGAAAGGTAGTGAGATCCTAATTTTGCATAAGATTGTGACTTCATCACATAAACCTTAAATGTACTCTTTAAATTTTGTAGCTTTTGGTTACCTCTGCCCCACGTACTGTTCCAGACAAATTAATGTTGGAATGCTTTTAACAATAATAATAATAAATCTTACACTTCTGTTGGCCTTGAGCTTGAAAATAGCAGTTAAAAAAATTAAGTATTGCATTGATTATCAGTACTTAATTACTTTGTGCACTAAAACCTTAACTATTTATTACTGTGAAAAAAAACAAAATTATCTTTACTGTATAGCCGGTTTCTTTAAATGATAGAATTCTGGAATTACATCTAAATTTTTAATTCTTTCTTATATCAGACAAGCAAGGCTTCTTATGCTGCTAAACTTGCAGGTGCAGAAAGAAACAACCTTCGAAGGGCAAAGAGAAGCTGACTGATTGCATTGCCGGGGGCTATTTCTCACACACACCTTTTCTCCTGATTCTGTGTTCAGGAGAGGCTGCCAGCATAAAACCTAACTGCTAGGTTGTCGGAGAACAGCTTGTCTGCCACGATGGTGCAGGCCAACAAGCCAGCATCACAGCTCAGTCGTGTGACTTTGAGCATGCTTAAACTAGAACTCTTCCCTTCCCCCCTTAGGAAGGGCCACTCCTCTTCCTTTCTGATCTGAAAAACAAAAAACAAACCAACAAACAAAAAACCAGCCCTTTTGGCAATTCCCACATTCTATTTACGTATAGAATATTGTGCCTTATTGTAAACTGGTTTGAAAAATGTTCTGTAACTGAAATGGGTTTTCAGCTACTACACATACAAACTTGGTATATCACTAGGAAAGAGAAGCACCTTGTGTTGCACCTTAAAAATAGCAAGACCATGCAATTTCAGTAACAAAATAGGTGGCCTGGCTGCAATATTATAGCATATAATTAAGACATTATATCCCTGCAAAAATTTGTAAATCAAATTCAGAGACAAAAAAAATGTTTTAGAGTCATGCAGTTTGTGCACCAAAGTAGGTAATAACTGTCTCTAAAAATGTTTTTTCCTTAGTCTTTGGTGAGCTAAGATTCAACATAGTGTCAACAGCATGCTCCAGTATGAAGTTGTTTTTTTTTTTTTTAAAGCACATTTGTTTATGACAGGCCTACATTCTCAGTGAATATGGCGTTTAGTATTTCTTTTAAAAACAAACTTAAGCATCATGAGCCAAAGTTGCATTTTGACTCCCAACTATGATATCATTATGGAAATCTCACAAAGTCAAGGGTTTGTGTTATGTATTAGTAAAGTATAGATTATCGGGGCCTACGTAATTTAAAGAAATGTAAATTAATATTAAAAGCTTGTAAAAATATGTACATCTTTACTATTTCTCAATAAATACCTTTGCAAATGTTTTCATTTTCTTCACCTTCCCATGTTGCAGAATTTTTGTGTGTGCACTGAGCTTGATTCTAAATCGTGTGAAATTTGTATTTAGGTTTCTTGATGTATTCTTACATTCCCTTTTTGTTCCTAGATTGTGTAATTTGCAGCTAAGGCAAACCAGGAGATGACACAGTGAAGTGTCACTAATTAAGACTAAAAGTGAGTGGGTTTACTGAAAAGATGTGATTGCATAGTTTTTTACATATAGGTAGCTCCATTCAAGTATAATGCATAATGTAGCCACAATTCATTAATGATAAAGTAATTCCTATTAGAATATTAAAAGCAAATATCCTTAAGATGAATATGGGACATAATTTATAAGTATCTTCCAAGAAGATAAAAAAGTAGTTTTCTATAACAGATTCAATGGCTCCTTTATTACCTTATATATAGTATTGATTTATTGCAAATTTGTTGTTCACGTGTAAACTAAAGGCAAATTTCAGATCAACCTTGGCTTATTCATAACTTTTTAAAATGTTAGCCTCCAAATTAATGAGATTTAAGTGGAATTTTGTGGGAACATCTGGTAACCCTATGCCATACAAAAATCAATTATGGCCTACAGGAATACAATGAATGTATTTAAAATAAATACATACATTCAATAAATTGAATATGTAAACTTCCTTTCTATTCTCTTATAGCCAATTACCATTGCAATTTGAATTTGTGGTAAGACTAAATGATATATATCATATCCCAATTCTCTCCTGAACGCCAAACAAGTGGATCCTATTTGCCTGTTTAACATACTGGCTTGAAGGAAAGCACCTCTCAAACCAACATGTCCAAATCTGAACTTGTGTTTCTGCCCCAGCCACATCTCACCTGTCCCATAAGTACCACCTGGGGTGAAACTGTCATCACGTCTCAACTGGATGACTACTTCTGGCTTAGTCTCCCCGCTTTGGCCCTCACACTCCTTCAACGAGAATAATACTGCGAATCAGAGCGTGTCCCTCCTCTCCTCGAAAACCTCCAGCAGCTGGCGTCCCAGATCACTGGGCACAGACACCAGCACCTGAACAATGGTCTGTCTGCCTACCTGCACCATCCCTGCCGAGCTCTCCATCTTCATGTTCTGCCCTCCTCTGGCTCACTCCGCACCGCCAAACTGGCACCTCCATGTCTGGCACAAACCTGCACCCCACCTGCCACAGGGCCATTGCACTCGCTGTTACTTCTACTTGGAGAGGTTTTTGCTCAGATATCTGTGTCATTTATGTCCTCGGTTTCTTCACATCTTTACTGAGAGACCGCCATTTCACTGAGAAGGTGCTCCTCTCTAAAATGGCACATGCTTCCCCAACACTGCTGTCACTTCCCTGCTGACTGGTGAAGAATACTTAATCCTTAGATTTATCCAACATGATACACATTTAATTTATCTTTATATTGTATGACACCCATTACAATACATACTCTGTAAAGGCAGGGATTTTTGTTTTGTTTTACTCATTTCGATGGAATCAGTATCTAGAACAGTGTGTGGCATATAGCAGGTACTCAAAAAGCATATGTTAATGATTGCCTACCCTAAACTACAGGAAAACACATATATGATCATGGTCTAGAATTAAAGTGATTTAAAATGGTGGAGCTATATCTGAAGGGCAAGAAAGGAAGAAAACACGCAGGTAACTTTGATTGGGACTTATGTAAGTAT